TACTGAAAACTTTTCAAAGTTACTCTCTGGAATGCTAGAAATTTTGGACTAAAGGGAAATTTCATTGGGAAGGGGGTAACACCCTAATTTTGCCCCTCTTTGTCTGCACCTGTGGTGGGGGTTCACCTTTCAGCATGTCAATGACATTAAATACACAGCCAAAGTAACATTGGAAGGGTTTAAAAATAAAAACACAAATGTTTTAGAATGTGCCAAGCAAACTCCAGGCTTCAATATGCCAAGAACGAACAAAAATTACAAGATCTAGATGTGTGAAGCTGACAGAGACTTAGCCAAGAAGTCTCACAACTGTAATTGCTGCCAATGGTGCTTCTATCAAGCAATGACTTGGGTAGAAGAATAGTTATGTAATCAGAAAGTACTGATTTGTTTTCATTTTCTGTACTTGTGTCCCAATAAAACTATTTTGCACCTTTCTAATTTCAAGCATCTTGCATATAACAAGTGGTAACACTGTAAACTAGTAAATCAATTTCATTTCCAGGTTACAACATGGGCATGTGAAGACTTTTGCAAGGCACTCACTATGTGCCACAAAGTGGTGAACAAATCTTTTGAGTTCTGCAGAACAGAAGAAGCAGAACTTCCTGAGAAGAACCATTTGTTGGAACAAAAATAGGTACAGTCAGTGATATTAGAGGCTTTTCACAAAAAAAAGGTTCTTAAACATCATGGACTAAGCAAGTCCAAGCAACAATGATTAGTCATAGTACATAAACTCTGTAATTCAGTCTTTGAAAGTTTTCGACACAGAATTTATTTGACTCATGCCATCCTTCTGAGTTCATGAGACTTTACTTGACCTTGAATTCCACGTCCTGTTTAAGTGTGACATTTTCAGAAAGACAGGGAGATAATCCAGTTTCACTTCAGATCAAACAAAAAGTTCAGATGAAGCTCTTTGCCAGATTTCCTACCCGCACTGCATGTTGTTGTTGCTTTAGAGAAATGCAATTTATTTTTTTCCTCTCAGTATTAGCTTGTTCTAAGAATCCAGCAGGGACAAATCTTGAACATCTCTTCATATATCAGAGCTTTCCATAAATAGGCACTATGTATAGTTTGCAAGGAGAATAGGGGACAATAATAAAAGCTTTCCATACATAGAATAAACTGTTATTAAGCCTGTGGTGTTTTTTTAAAACAAAAACAAAAAACCAACAACTAAGAGCCAAGTTGAATATTTGCTTTATGAAGCCAACACACAAAACAGACATTCCCATCTGGCTGCTTTTGTGCAGCTGAAGATTAACTTGGCAACCCAGCAGGCCATCTGTCATTAACAGCAGCAGTTGAACATTCCCTGACACCTGGTAATGTCAAAGACCCAAAAGCCATGCACTCGATGGGATTGCTTAGACTAGCCGAAAAAGGAAAGGGCTGCTGAGCTTCAGCACAGAAATCACAAACATTCGTTGCAACAGCTCTAAATGATGGAAAATCCAGTGCAAAGACAGTATTTGTGCTGGCTACAGTTTTTAACACAGAAAACATAATTAGTTGGCCCTCCACATTTGCAGTTTTGACTTTTGTATATTTGATTACAGTCGCCCCCTTCAAAACCACAGACCTCAAGCCTATTCTCACAGACTTGAGGTCCGCGGTTTTGAATATTCA